CAATTTAAGTCAAATTACTTTAAATTCAATGATTTACATCGTATAAAAATTTGAATGTAAAATCAAAATTTATGTACTTCTTTTAAATCAAATTTAATTGAATATAATCTTATAAAATCAAATTATTTCAATAGGAAAAATAAAATAAAATAAAATTATAAAAAGCAATTCAACTCATACCCCTGCATATTCATAGTTTATAAATGTCAAATATAAATAAATAAGTTTAGAAAAGTGTACTGTTTTTAAAAAACCAAATCAAGTCAAATTTATTTAAATTAACTTAAATTGTATCACGAAAACAAAATTAAATCAAATTAAATTAAATACATTACATCAAATCATGTCACAATGTATAATCTCGAAACTTTAACAACTACGCCAAATTGCCACAAATGTCCTTTGATCGCAGGGCAAATATTAATTTTAAGGAAGGCCGGCATTTTCGCAAATCACATTCTCTGGTGGGATTTTCGATGAAGCAAAATTGTATTTGTTATAACATTCGATTACGTAATTTATTTTCGTTTTACAGATAGTCTTTCGAGACTACCAATAAATCATATATATGAGATGTATTCATCATTTTTCTTTATGATGGTAATGAGATTGGTAGTTGAATTTTCCCACACTGATATAAATATATATTGTGTGTCCGATGAATTTCATTAAGTGGACTAGAGTCCCGTTGGGGGTGTTGATAAGACCTAGGCAAGTTCGGAACTGCCGTCCACCCTAGATGAGTATATCTTATAGGAAAACAAGGTTACGTGAACTTGAATAGAAATGTTATGTATACTCATATCATCGTGAGAAAAATAAACTGCAAGTCCTCTTACCACCCTAAACGACATTGAATGAGTTCAACTTATATATATATAATTTACTGGTTGCCTTGAAAGCCTACTTATAATACTAAAAATAGGTCAATGGGAATGGCATAGGATATTCAAATGACGGACTAAGAAGTATCCTAGTTCTTCTGTTTAGTTAAAGCTCTGAAGGTCTCCATCATTCAATTTCAAATAAGATGAAGTTGAAGTTAAAATAAATTGCAGCCACCTAAAAAGGCTCCGTAAAATATGATGACACTTTATATCTTATCCCCATATTCACTCTTCATAGCCTCATCATTTAAAAATGTATGGCCTCAAACCACGGCAAAGTAGTCTTAAGGTAGTCTTTTTTGGCTATTTTAAATTTTCATCGTTATAGAGAAGCTTAGGCAGCACACACTGATAAAGGGCACTTGTGTTTCAGGCATATATTCTGGTAAATTGGTCAAGCCCTTAAAGTGCATTAAACAAAAGGACGCCTGAGAACTCACGAAGCGTATCTTCCTAGCTCAGATATCAAAGTAACGAATTTTTTTATAATAACGCTGGTAGCTACATTCTGCTAAACCATGCATCAAGAGACTAAATTAAAAGTTTATGAATTCTTATTCCATATGCTAGCCAGTCTCAAATCAGATAAATTGTTAAAATCTAGGTAATAAATTGATACAAGTTTATATAAGAAGCGAAATAAAGAGTTACTTAGGTCTGATGGTTGCGACGCACATATATACCGAATATGAACAGCGTAGTGACAAATACTTGTTTGTCCTATCGACAAAGTGAGATTTGAAAGAAACCTGGTTCTTTGTGAGTCGCATCTGCCCTGTGACCCATTTGCATTTGGAGCTATGCTACGAAGTGGAAACGCGTCGCCTTGAGGTTTCGAATCCAGTTGGTTGTATTAATAAGAAGAAGGGCCGGGGTTAAATCTGAAGTCCAAATTTGATTAGCTAACCTTTTGAAGGTAGGGCCAAGTGAATTGCAATGATATTTTGAAGTATACTTATCTGATTGATTGAAAATGGAATGATCAGTCTTTAAATCATTTTAAATGATTAAGGGTGACTAAGTTTCTAATCAAAGACTACGAGACTCACTTATACTGACAATCTTTATCCTTTCTTTGGCGGTTTCACCTCAGACATCCAACCAAAGTGGACTATTAAACTTCTCTAAATGTTGGAGCAGACGACGAATGGAGATAGAGTATTTGATCAAGGGACTCTACTGAAGGAGGCCTGGGCCCCTCGACTCACTCGAGGGGACTCAATTCCCCAGTTTGTCCAGCACTCTCGCCCTCAAGAGGCGGGATCGAGATGGTACCATGCGGGACCTAGGCATAAAGCAGGCGTGATCCCACCGCAGAATGTTGATCGATGGGGTGAGCCTCTGCTGCCATTTCGACTAGGTGTGCTTTTCTCTCTGATCTGACTCTCTTCCGCAAGGGACCGTGGGATCTGCCGTGATCAACCTGGCTACGGTTAGATCCAAGGCCTTCCAGTTAGAAAGTTAACCAAGTTGCGGCAGCATGCTCACTCCTGCTCAACCCACCAACTGTGCTGTATCGTATGTACCCTGGACAATAGGTCACACATTTTGCCCATAGTCGGCCTAATAAAAGTTCAGCGAAGCCCCAACGCCGGGTCAATGATGCATCCAGGGCTCAACAGCAGTATTTTGAGTCTATTTATCCAAAGTGTTTTTTTTCAATAGTTGAATTTGATCTGCTCATAGAACGCGAATTGCCTAAGACCAAATTGGTCAGCTTCATTTAAGGCATTTAAGGTCCTTGCCTGTGAATTACTGGCATTTGTAACTAGGCTGCCTACATAACATCTCCTTTTGATGCTCTACTCATAGTATTGTCGAAAAAATCAACTACCAGCCCTTCATCATCTTAAACGAAATAGGGTGAAAACAACTTAAATAGCTGACTTACTGGTTGTCACGAGAACCTAGCCCTTACAAGATTCCAGTAAATGAGATGTATTCACCCAATTTCGTGTAAGGTGATGAAGGACTGGTAGAAGAAGAATTTTCC